GCGATTTGGTGAGGCCAATGGCGAGGCACAGGGTCACATGACCTCTGGTTGAATTAATGCGATGCACAAGTTAACTTGAAAAATGTGACTTAGATAGTAATTTTTCCTTTTTTTTTGCTAACGTTTATCTATTTTAGATCCTAGCCTACTGAATAACATTTAGTCTAACATTTGACCTAAAATAAGTGGAAGTTGTTCAAGTTAGATTTTTTCTTCTTTAAATCTTTGATAGCATCCACAGATCAAGAATTTTCACATCATCACTTCCTGCGGCGGAGATTCCAGCCCAAACTGCACACTCAGCTGAAATGCACTTATTCTATATGTATTTATGTAATTATTCAACGCTCTTTGACCCTGTGCTTTGAGCTGGTACTGTTCTATCATCAAAGTATCTGTTCTTTCTCATGGCGGCGGCTCACCCGTGATTTCTCCTCCAGCCTGGTCATCATAACGATGGTGCAGGTTCTCTGCTCCCACACCATCCTCCAGAAGTCGGTCAGCGTCTCCGGCAGCGGCCCCTGGGTGGCGATGTAAGCGTTCTGCTTCCTGTAGCCATCGATGTAGTTCCCGTTGATGTAGTCACTGCCCGGAACTCCTGATTGGACGGTAAGAAGTCAGAAGAGTAAAAATAAAAAAAGAGGGAAATTCCAGAAGTAATGAACACTTTAATAGATTTGATTCAAAGATTTGAAAGATTCAGTTACTACATATTCTACTGATATATACTGTAATAAAATAAACATTTGTCAAATATATTCATCCAAAGCAGTCCACCTGGACTATAGTCTTAAACGGGGCTATTCAATAAACATTATTTTAGGTCAGATGTTTTGGGTAATTCACAGGAGACTGGGCCACTCTATCATGGGGTGTGGGGCACATCTAGCCCGTGGGCCACGTTTTGAGCGAGTCAGATCTGAATTACCACAGCTTGACCTTCAGATTATTTTTTTCCCACATTATAACATCTGTCCGTTTGACCAAAGTGGGCACTGTGATGTAGCCTGTTCTAATTTTTAAGGCAAGAACGTAAATCAGACTGTTGTGATTCAAGGTTCTCGTCGAGTCCTGCAGCAGGAACCGTCTCTGGATCTCTGACTGTTGTTGTAATGAATTAATTTATTCCAGAGAGAACAATGAGAACTGAGTGTAAATATGGTTTTGAACCCTCACCGTCCACCGGCGTGAGGATGACCCTGGAGTGGTCGTAGGCGATCACATTTGCATAGCGGTTCTTGGGCTTGTTGACCTCCAGGTTGGAGTGCTCCCAGGTGAACTGCTGTCCAGGATCGATGGACTGAAAACACCAGGGGGAGGCAGGGTGGAGGAGGCGGGGGACACATAGAGGGAAGGATATATGGAGGCAGAGGGAGAGACAGCAGGAAACCATTTATTACAGCAGTTCAGATGCTGTTCACAACAAAGAAACGTCAGACGCTGCAGTCGTTTGTCAACACCCCCCTCCCGACCCCCCCGCAGCTGCTGGCTGTGGAATATGAAAAGGTGAACGTCCCTCAGTTCCACACTGGACCCCCCCCACGCCCCTGTCCTTTTATCCCCCCTAGTGTTTCACCTGCCACTGTACAGCCATGAAGGAGAAGCACAGCATCGGGAGGTTCAGGAGATTTTCCTGCAGCTTCATAATAAAAAAAAAAGAGCAGATGAGGAGGTGAAGTTGCTTTAACGTCTAATGTCTGAGGCTCAGGAACAAAGTCCAGAAGACTGACTGACAGGAAATATCACAGTTAAACCTCTTGGTTTAATACACAGGCCAACGACACTGGTCCACTCCCAGTGAAGACCTGTGACATCATCTGGACTCAGACACTTCCTGCTGCTTCCTCTCCTCACACTCACAGCCTCCCACTAATAATTATGAAGATGTTGAAACAGGTTGAATGAACATCTTATTTAACAGCTCGTTAGCTGGGGCCTCCTCCGCCCCACGCTGCTCCACCACGCTGACATCTCCATCACTTATTCAGCCTCTCAGTGTGATGACAGTCACACAGCCACAGCCACAACAAAGATGACGACGACGATACAGGAGGTGAGGGAAGTTAACAACAACAACAACAACAACAACAACAACAACAACAACAACAACAACAACAACAACAACAACAACATCATCATCCCTAGATTGGACCAGAAAAACAAACATTTTTATCAACAAATGGTGAAAAGTAACTACAGATAATAAATATAGAGGCTTTTTGTTGTATTTTTTAAAACTTAATTCTAAAGAGACCTAAATACATAATGAAACATATTGTTTTCTGTTAAAATGTAGATATGATTTCTTTCAATAATAAGTAAAAATGTCAATCTTTTTGTAGTGAATTTGTAAATTAGGAGAGACAGAAAAACAACTGGGTTTTCAGTTTAAAAGAAGTAAAAAATGTCAGAATGAAATGGAAAACATCTTAATCCAGAGGTGTCAAATATGTGGCTCGTGGGCCAAAACCAGCCCACTAGGGGGTCCAATCCAGCCTATGAATTGTGAAAATAAAATACAAACAAACAAACACTTCATGTTCAGGATATGATTAGTAAAATTATATTTCACTAAACACTTGTTGCTATTCATATGTAATTATGTTTTGATTGGACTGGTTCGTTGGTACCAGTTCACTGGACCTGGTCCAACGAACTGATATGTTTCCATAAAGAGACACTCCATGCAGTGAGTGCTAATGAAAGCAGCAGTGAGGACAGTGAGGACAGTGAGGACAGTGAGTCACGTTGTTAAGTCGAAGTAAAAACAGAAGTGCTCGGAGACGCAGGTGAACATACACACGTATCTATGGTACGCCTGGCCACAGGAGGCCACATGTGTCTTATGAAGTGGTCTCCTGTCACTCTGGAGCAGAGCGGCTCATCCATCAGCTGTAACAAGCTGTGAGATCCTGCGGCAGCTCTCATTTAAATCACCACCATTATCAGATCTTCATTTCAGGCCCTGCTGCACTCACTGTGGACTAATGGCTGGAAAAGCTGCTGCAACAGGACGCAGGAGAACCGAGTGTGACCGACCAACAGCTAATATAGATGTGAGCCTGTGGATCACAGTTTACTGAGGGATTAAGGCTGCTTTAAAGGGACAGTCCGGGGTTCTGGCAGAACACTGGCTGTAAAGCAGCCCCCACTAAAGTCAACACTTTAACACATGAGATTTAGACTCTTTAAAATAAACAGGCCCATCTGATAAAATCCACATTAGCCTGCAGCTACGTCCTCCAACACTGCAGTGAAAAATCCACATTAACCTAGGTTTTAACAAGTAGTTGATGGTTTTGAGTGCCTCAGTTACAGCCTTGGTGCACTTAGGGTTTTTACAAGCTCTGGTTCAGGTCCCCGTCAGTGTTTTTGGTGAATATTTGGGTTACAACCTGAGGTGAGATGGGGGGGGGGCATCCCTGAGGAAAGAGAATCATCCATCCATCCATCCATCCTTCCATCCTTCCATCCATCCATCCATCCTTCCATCCATCCATCCATCCATCCATTTACACTTACATTCACACCCAGTTCAGAGTGAATACTTAACCAAATCCTGAAAACTATTTGAAACCTTGACAGGGAACTGTAGTACCTGTAGTAAACCCATATGTGTACAGTACGTAGTAAACACTGACTCTGACTTCAAACAGAAGCTCTGACAGATAAATCCAGTCTAAGGATTCCTGAGTATTCCCATCCCAAACAGAAAATTTGTTTTTCAAACACATCTCGGGAACAATGACACCAGTGGTTTTTGAAACAAGGCTCCGAGCCTCATTCACCTGTAAATACATTCTTGAAAATTTTACCAACACAGCAAAACTCCTCAAGAACTCCTTTCATGGAACTAGGTGTAAGGAAGAAGAACAAACCTGAGGGTTGGGGTGTAGAAAAAAAAGCTGATTCAGTGGCTGTTTCATAATTTATATGCCCTCTTCCCTCTGTTGTACACAAACAGGGCAACCATCTGTCCTGGTTTATCCACTTGGAAATTCACCACTTTAAATGCAAATTACCTTCCCTTGTAGGATGTCAACAAACCATAATCCCTCGCCGGCTTTTAAAATAGGTAAAAGCAGTGGAATAATATTCCTGGAAAAGGAAAGGCAGCAGAGAATTCATGCATACTTAGCAGCATCCTCGTGCGTTTTTTTTCTTTTAACCTGCGTGGAACCGAGTTCCTGCTGCAGTCAGAGGAGCTCCTTACACCGGTCTAAACAAGTGGCGTGGAAAAATTGTGCTCAGCATTTTAGTCCAGAGAACAGAGGGTTGATTTGGCAGGTGGGGCAGTTGTAAATACACATTCACCCCTCGTCAGAGCGGAAGAAAATACGAGCTCTGGAGCAAATTGGAAACCTGCAGCAGTCGCTTCAGTCACCGCGGACTTTACACTTGATTTAGATGACAGGAGACGTGTGTGTGTGTGTGTGTGTGTGTGGGGGGGGATCATCCGCAGGATTAAATCACTCACAAAGTCAAGGCAAAGACGTAAATGGACGTCGCGCTGGTCCCTCTCTGGAGAGAGTGAATTGTGTGAATAACACGTGAAACCTGCTTCCTTTTCAGTGTGATCACAGCTTAGCAGCTTTAATGAAAGTTCCACCTTAGTGTGAGGAGCTGAGAAACTCTTCAGTGGTTTCCAAACTTTTTCTGCACCGCCCCCCCAGTGGTAAGGGTTATTGCAGCTTAGTACTTTTGGAACACAACTGTTTGTACTACACATGTTTAGTACTTTTATGTGGATGTTTTACCAACAATATCCATCTATCCATCCATCCATCCATCCATCCATCTATCCATCCATCCATTCATCCAGTCCTTTGGACTTTTTGATCGAAAGTTCACTTGCTAAACTGAAAACTAGTTGTTCTTTGGACAAAATTTGACTGGATTAAACTTTGTTTTTTTAAGGATTATTGTTCTATAAAAGAAACCGTAGATTGAAATGACACCTCATTCCCAGCAGCCTCTGCACGACCTCAGTGAAAGACGTGAAGGACAGCAGCGAGCGTTACCTCGTACTCCTGAGAGAAGCGCAGGGCGTCGTTAGCTTTGAGCCGCTCGATGTGGTCAGCCAGGTCACAGACAGCGATGGGAGGATGTTCCCGCATCCCTGCAGAGACAAAGAGATGAAACGGTCAGCACACACACCATGGGTAAACAAACACACACACACAGATGCAGGTAATATCTCCGAGCTAATTGGCCACAGTGACATGAGGTGACAGCGGTGCTGCGGTGTGATCAGTGCAAGGTGATGAAAACTGACTGAAAGGTTTACGACGACACTTCATCATCACAATCAACCCTTGATGACATGGGCTCCAGCAAACATGCTGATTGGTTAAAAGCTTTCCACAAATCAGCAGGTGAGTGAGGATCAGAGGTGAGGGATTTACTGACTTTTCATTTGATTTCCACTCTTGCTGTAGTTTATAAAATCTGGTTGCCATGAAAATGGGGGTGGGGAGAGGGTGAGGTGAGAGAGGTCAAGGAGGTGAAGGAGGTGAAGGAGGTCAGGTGGGAATGGAAGGACACATTAGTCAAACACAGGAGGGTTTAAAAACTAACTTGTTGTGTTCGGGCAACTGAGGACACTGGAACCTGTGGGGAGAGACCAGGCAAAACAAAGAACACAGGGGTCAGTGTGGGGCAAAACATTCAAAAAGAAAAGACACCAGGGAGCAGGGGGAGAGGTGACCTCTGACCCCTCTGACATTTAGCCACACCAGTGGAGAAACTCAGAGAGGGTCAGAGATGATCTTTAGAGTTTTTTTTTTCTTCTGTCAAATACAGCGCTGTGCAAAAGTTCTAGGCAGGTGACATGTATCTACAGAACGCCCGCTGCAGCTCTACAGAAAAGAATTAAATTTAAGTTTTAAATTTCTCCAGAAACCATCGCTCTAAAACTACACAAAAACCTGTCGGCTGTTTCCTGTTGTTACTGTTCAAAAACACCACACAGTAGGAAAAGAGAGGGGTGGGGGGTTGGGGGGTGATGACGTCACTGATGAGGTTAAATGTGACTATGAGAAGGAAATAAGAAAATAGTCTAAATAATCTGATTTACTTTCCTGTGTTTGTGTTCTTTGATTATTAATAAGATTTGATGTATTTTTATTTTTTTATTGTTGGTCTCTGAGACACAACGTCACTGTTTGTTCTACGATGACAGCAGAGATTCTTCTCATCTTTTTCTTTTTGATTCCTTCTTTTATTTCCTCTTTCCTTCTTTCATACCTTCCTCCAACCCTTCCAAAACTTCTTTCTTTCTTTCTTTCTTTTCTTCCTTCCTTCCCCCTTCTCCTCTTTCAAAGAACCATATTTCATCTTATAACTTCCTTTACATCTGTGTTGTTTCTCCTCTTCTCTTGTGTTTTATCTACAGTCAGGACCATGATGCACTCTGTCAGCCATGACAGACTTATTTTTCTTTCGGCATTGTCCCTTTTTTCAGCCATGACAGACATTTGAGTTTATTCAAATGTATTTAGATTTAAAAAAACCATGTCTAAATAAAGACAGCTGCTTCAGGATGAGGTAGAACCTTCAGTAGAACAAGGCGGCCCAGCCCACAAAGAGTGGGTCTCACAGTGGATAAAGGCAGGAAAGATGGGTTTCATTTAGCCTTAGTACTGAGGAGTAACCAGAGTACACAGTAACCAGAGCACAGAGACTTATGCGTACTAATGTGAAGGAGCATTTATTGTGTCATTTACGGCCGTTTTGTCAAAGATTGTTTTTAAATCAATACAACACCACTGTACTGTGGCATCAAATGTTGTGCAGTAAAACCTCATGTACAGCGTGCACTGCAGTAAGCAGCGTCGGCGACGGTGTTTTCATCTGCCCGTCTGGGTTTGCTGTGAATAACTCTGGAAGTTTCCGAGGCCACCCAGCGAGCTGTCACCAACAGCACAACAAAAGGTTGGCAACTAAAGCAGTTGATGAATCTGTGTTGATATAAACAACATCTGCCAAATTCTCTCCCACCGCCACCAGGGGGTAAATGCCACCCGAGTGGATGAAAACAGATGAGGAGAAAAAGAGTGAAAACCTCCCACTGAAGAACAGGTGGAGGAGGGGGGGGCTGTGGTGGGAGACAGAGGAGGACACAGAGAGAGCAGGTGAGAAGGTTTTCAAAAAAAAAAGAAATGTTTATTAACACAGAGAAGGAGGGAATCAGCTGATGTTTTTCTGCCTGTTGTTGTTTTTTGTTCTTTTTTTTCTGAGGTTTTTTAACAGTGGCTGTAATTAAAACCTCACTGTGTCTGAACCTCAATACAAAGTCACTCCATCATTTTTATTTTCTCTGTAGGAAATACAGCTGATGATGAAACATCATCCATCATCCAACCTTCTAACGTCCAGACTGTGGGTTTTTTCTTTCGCTAATTGCAATTATTTCACAATGATCTGATTTAATCTGTGCGACTTTTCGGTCAACATTCATGTTACTCTCCATGACTGTAATCTGCTTATTTAGTTATTTAAATTTATTAAAAAGTAGATTAATTTATTAAAAGAGTATTTTTATTTGAGGGACAGGATTTTTCTTGGGGGCTGGACTCTTAAATAAAGTGAAACAAAAATCTAAAATTTGAGGTTATTTTTGGAATCCAGTTTCAGGCTGGATGGGACATTTCAGTTCATGCTCATTTCTCCTAAAGTATTTTTTTCTAATTCACAATAAAGAGGTCAGTTCTGAATGTTGATGTTGTTGTCCAGCCTCCAATATAAGGTTTATAAAAAATTGTTATCGTTTCAAACAATGTTTCACTCTTTCAGAAATTCCTTTTCTGTCACATTTGAACAACACACAGATGAGTCTCAGCTGCAGGAAAGATAATAATACTAATAAAAAACACTCAACATCTGAAGTGCACTGAGACTGATGTTCCATCCCTGACGATCCCCTCCTCCACCTGTAGGTGGGGATAACAACAAGAACCCGTGGAGCTAAAACCAGTTTTCATTTCTGCACCTTGTGTCTGGTAGTTGAGTCTCCTCATCTCCACAGGATCTGAAGAGTGGGCCAACAGTGAGTCCTTCACCCCCACCATGTGCTCGTCCTTGGCTGGAGACGTTCTCTTCCTGGGATAAGGAACAGGTGGCAGTGTTAGAGAACACCACTGGGGTTTCACTTCAAGAAGGGATGAAAAAAGAAACAACAAAACACAGGAACACAGGGAGACACCAACCTTTCCTGTTTGCTGCATCCACACAAAGACGGCCGGCAGTGGGAGAACAGAGGAGGAGAGAGAAGAAAAGAATGAAGTTACAGGTTGGTACCAGGCGGTGGCGCCAGACTTGGCGGAGAAATTGTGTCAGAAATTGTGTTTACATCACATCATATACACATGGGTCTAATAGACAGAAAACATGTGATTGAGGGTGTGTGTGTGTGTGTGTGTGTCTGATCCTGATTGGACAGCGTTATGTTTCGTACAGCAGCAGTTCTCAGTCTCTGTGTTTGAGTCACAGCAACATTCAAGTTAAAATCCTCGGCCTGAACTCAGGGCAGAGACTCAGTTTGAGGAAAGTCTGTCGTTGACACTTGTCTGTTGCTGACGCTTGTCTTTCGTCTGTCGTTGACATTCGAAGTCAAACAAGTCAACATGGCCGCCTCTTTGGAGCGACCATATGGACGTGGCCGGCAGCTCCGTCGGCAGCTCCAGATGCTTCAACTGTTCATTAGGGCAACTGATGGCAACAAGCTTCCATATGCCAGGGTTGACCTTTGGCCTGAGGCGAGGTCTGACAAGATGAACTTTAGAACTGTTTCTTCAGTTCTCTTCAGTCCACAATGAGGCTCTGAGCCACTCTAGGGACCGTGTCACAATGACTGTTTAGATAAAAGTAACAAGGAGGAACAATAGCAGTTTTTATAGCACAGGGAGTATTTATACTCCGTAGTTACAGCTGGATGTTTTAATTGTACTCAGTTGGAAGTTTTTGTTTTTTTAGTTCTTAATTCACTTGTTACTATTTTAATGTGACTGCATCACTGAGTCAAGTCCCTTTTTATCGAGACTTAAGGAGATGGTTGTAGGTGGAGCACTTTATAAGACCGGATCCAGGTCCAGAAGACTACTGGACTGGAGAAGAGGACTGAGCTGGAAGACTGAGACCCTCCACAGACCTTCATCCTCAGGGTCTGCTGGTGGACTCACCTCTTGAAGAGAAGAATAGCAATGACTATGATGATGATGAGAATGACCGCCAGGACTGGACCCATGACCCACAGCATCTCCGGCTCCTCAGTCTGACGAGTCATCCCACTGTGGAGCTTCACCATGATTGGCTCAGAGAAGGGACTGGCTGCAAATGTCCTCTGCTGCAGGACAATGAGACAAGACAAGAGAAGATGATCCTGGACTGTCTGACACCAGCTGGGGCCGCAGACCAGAGGTTGAAGCCTCAACAAACACATGTTGGGAGTTGATTAAATACATTAAAAATGTCGTCATGTTCTCCTCTGTAGTTTTTTTAAATTAAATTCTGTTACTTTTTTACAAACACAGATCCCAGTGCAAGGTAATACGGTTGTTGACATTTAAATGCTACAGTCTGTCTTAGACTTTCTACTGAAAAACAAAAACAAAATGACATCTGGTTTGTCTTTACTTCTATGAAACAAGTCAAAAGAAACAAAGATGAAATCCCAGGGAAAACATAATTAACCTCTGTCCAACCATGAAAATAAGGTTCTGCTGCAGATAACGCACATCAAACATTAAATATAGTAAAATAAAAACTTCATCTTAAAAAACAATGTTTTCAAAAATGTTCTGAAAGACGAGGGTTTGAAAACTTTCTGCAAAATTACAGAAAGAAGAAGAAAAAAAACATTTCAACTCTTCTGATTTGACATCAACAATAATTTAATGTTCTGTTCATCAGATTTGTCGACCCATCGTGACCCTCTTCACCAAGAAAGAATCTGATGTTGTGTAACATCTGGGGCTAAAAGACAGGGCTAATATTTGCTCAGTTAAAGTCAATTTTCAACACTGGTGACCAAAATGTGGGGCAGGTCTCCCAGAGGGGTCACAGCAAGGCATGTTATTTAAATCTTATATATAAATATATCATTTTATTTGCTTTATTCATTGGCAACAACAGTGGTTTTAGTAAAGTTTGATTTTGATGCTGTGAATGTGTCAGTGTGGGGGCAGCGGGGGCGGGAGTGGTACGTATTGTATAAGTGGCCTATTCTTTGTGTAAACATTATTCAGTTAGTATTTGTTTACAGTGACAGACATGTTTTCATGGAGGTCTGGAGGTCAACACAGAGACATATATGGAACTGCAAACCATCTGCCCCCCCTCCATTCTCCTCCTCGACTTATGACAGTAACTGAAGTGACTTCATCACGTCCAAGTTTCAGGTCTACACTCAGGCCTGCAGCTGATGAAAAACCGTAAAAAAGCTGAATCCTGACAAAGATGAATGGATTACTGTAAACAATCTCAGATTAGAGGCGCTGTGGTAACGAACTGACAAGGACTGCTGCCGACGGCGACGATCTGACAGAAGTGGAACATCTTCACAGAACGATTCCTGCCGATGAAGGCCATTAGTGGCTTTGAGCAAACGGTCTGCTTCGATCTTTACGTCTGTATTTATAGTGCCAGATATTCTGGGCTGCTTCTGTCAGGAACAACACAGACGCCGACCGGTTATTCAGCCCAGCAGTGACTCAGTCAACCCAGTCCACGTTCCTCTGCTGCACACAACAGATGAAGCACCGAAACATATGCACTCATGAGTGACATCGTGTGGTGTGTAGATGTTGAACAACCTTTCTGTTGTAAGAAAAGAGTGAAGAATGGAGACGTCTATGAATGGTTGGTCATGTGACATGTCAGTAAAAGAGCCCAGAAATGTTTTCCACCATTTAGACCGGTACTAGCCGTTACTGTGGACCGGTACCCCAACACCGATCATGAAGGATCATTAACTTTTCAAAATAAAACATCTTTTAGACCTTACTTTGTTAGTATCAGAGTCTGAATGATTATTTTGAAATATCGCCAGATTATCTTTAACTGATGGAAGTAAATGGATATGACTGGATCAGTAAAAATGTGCCCCACTATGGCCTGGTACTGATTTGTAGTGCAGTGTATGAAGGTTCAAGTTCTGTAGTAAGACTACAAACCTGATCTGGAGTTAACAGGCAGGAAAACAATATTGTTTTGCTGTTAGCAAGCAAGCTGAAAATGCACTGCAAGGTGTGAAATGCCTTCCTGTCATCTACTGATAACACTGCTCTGATGTATCACGCTCAGGTTAAATCTGGTCCACTGCAGGGAGCCACTGCATCGGCTCAGGAGCCACAGGTTGTGAACATTAGGGCAGGAGTTACGTGGATCCTTTTGTTGTAATTGACTTTAAGTAACTGCCTCCTCTGTCACTTTATGTTGTGTGACATGAGTGTGGCGTGTTACACTGTTGTTGAGTGAAAGTATAAATATTGCTGTGAGGTTGACGGGGCTCCAGCTCTGGATGCTGCTCCTCAGGCTGAAAGCTGTAAACACACTTGAAGTATAGGGCTTGTTAAAACAATATCACCGCAAGACCAGCTCCGCCTGCTTAGTGATTCATTAATTTCAGCCTGTTTTTTTTTATTTTTATTATTATTATTATTTTTTCTCCCCACTCCAACATTTACAGGGGGAAGTGAGGGGGGGGGGGGTATCAGCGCTGTCAGCTGCACATGAATTAAACATGAACCTTGTGGCTGTAAGAGATTTGTTGGGAATTTGTCACGTTGTTCGACGACGCAGTCAAACAAATTCATTTTGACACACCACGACCCACCATCCTTTGCAACACGTCAAATTGGACACGTTCCGTGAATCTAATAATGTGGATCATGTATGGCGTTAGCCTCGGGATGAGATTTAGCATCTTAATCTGGGAGTGAAGCAGCATTCTGCTGACAAAGGCCCATTTATTTAGAAAGAATGTGCTCTTCTACTGACTTTAATTTAAAGGCTCAGGTCACCAAATTTATGAGCAAATTACCCCCTCCCATTAATAAATCATAATCTGGAATCTTTTCTGTTATATATATATTATAATTTAATAAATTATTGTTTTTTTTTTTCAGCAGTGGTCATTTTCACTTAAATCTCCATCTCTCCTCCACCTCCTGCATCATTCTGCAGGATGACCTTTGACATCAGTTCACAACCTGTTGCAGCTCTTCCATAACTGATTTCCTAACTGTTCATCTTTATAGGTTGAAAAATGTGATGAACTATGTCACCCAGGTGTTCAACACAGGAACAACGTCACTCCTCCACTGAACTCCATCCCACCGCCCGACTCATCAGGGAACAGCCGTTCACTCACCACATCTGTTTAAGTTTGTTTCACTCGCTGTAATTTTATTGTGCCATATATTTCAACCATATTTATCCCTTTAAAAAATCATATACTGTATATTCTACAGTTTAATGCTTTGTTGCACTGGTCATTTGAAAAGTAGCTCTCGAGACAAAAAAGTGTAGACACGGCTGGATTAGAGACTTAAAGAGACAGGACAAAGACGACTCTGTTACAGATGGTTTGGAAGAAGCTTTGAAAACCTTGACTGTTGAAGTGCAGCCTGATAACAGCTGCAGCTTATCTGTACCGACTGTATGATCCAAAAAACTTTTTCATTTTTATTCCCCCATCCCCAGAAATGACACTTTTCACAACTTTTTCTTTCCCCCACGATATAGAAATATAAACTACAGAATATTTAGATAATCTCAGTTTGAAAGTTTTTGGAGTGATCTATCTCCACACCTGGGAGATGGTGAAACTTCAAGGGTGAAAAATGCAGCTGCTACACAGGGCAGATGGAAGAGGAGGTGAGTGGAGGGGGGGGCATTATTAAAGGATAGTTCAAGTGTTCTGAAGAATGGCTGAATGAGAAGCTGACATCAGCCACGGTTATAAATGTCCTCTCGGCTCCAAGTCTGAGGTGAGAATGTTTGGAATGTGTTCTGACTGAAAACATGGCTGATGTGGAAAAAGAAAATATTTGAAAAAAATATAATCTTGATAATGTATCTAGAGATGTCTGTGCAGGCACAAAGGCATTACTGGTCATTTTTGCTATGCAAAAATGCAAAATCTTCAAAATCTTCAACTTAACTTTGTACGACATGCGCAGTAGATAGGGACACCATCGCCTCAGCAACAGCAGTGCCGTGTGCTGGTTGACAAAATAAGGTGTTGGATTGGTATCGGTATTGGCAGATACTTCAAGTTGCAGTATCGATTACGGTATCGGAGATGAAAAAGTTGTATCGAGCCATTCCTAATTTAAAAATATAGGTTTCAGCTAATGCCCTCAATATCTTCGCATAACAGTCCTGTCCTTGCTGGTATTCAAACCCACAACCCCTCAATCACAAAACTTCAACCTATAAACAGGGCTTCAACAGTTTCTCTTCTATTTTATTTACGACTTGTAGGAAGAGTCTAACGGTGGATTAAACCATTCGACACAAACCAGGGACAGGATGTGGATTTGCACGTGGACTGGTACTAAAGTCTGCCAGCACGCCTGTGGAACCCAGCAGGGGTCAGGCTTGCTCACGGTTCATCTCTCTCCTTCAAACTGGATATTTTCCAGTGGCGTGATTGTGTTTCCAGCAGCCTCCAGTCCCCTGAGCCTCACCCGTTCTCCCCTTTCTTCCTGTTCTCCTCACCTTCACATTAGAAACTCTGACCAACATCTGATCGCGCCCTCGCTCCGATCAAAACACCGTTCCATCTCGGAGACCTCCACCTTTCCTCTCCTCCACCTCCACATCCATCCACACATTAATCGCTGTCTTGTTTCCCTCACTCTTCTCTTTACATCCACACATTAATCGCCGTCTTGTTTCCCTCACTCTTCTCTTTACCTCCCGTGTTAATCCCAGAGAGGTTTGCGTTCACAGCCACTCTCCTCTCCTCCCCGTCCCTCCTCCTTCCCTCCCCTGCTATAATTGATCACACTCTGTATATGGCCGTTCTCTTTTATCCAATTTCACACACTCCGGCTTGTTTTTGCAGCAGTGGGGGATCGCAGAAAACTGCAGTGCACACTTTGCTTTAGACCCCTCTCCACTCCCCCCAAACACACACTCTTACTCTTTTCTTTACACTCTCATCTTCTCCTCTTCACTCCACCCTGGCAACAGCTTTGCAACTGCACTAAAAACCAAGACCTACTTCCTGTGTTTTCAGTGAATGTGATTAGGTTTCTATTTTGGTCTTGGCTCGACTCGCATTCATCTACTGTCTTTTACTGCTGCTCTGTTCTCCACACAATAAAATGAACCTAATGTACAGACTCTCCACTGAAGCAGCGCTACGACCGCAGCACAGTATAAAATGAGCCATGAGTCGTCAGTTTAGGGGTGTGATATGATACGTATCACAATACAGGGCCAACAATACGATATTTTGCAATAATTTTTTTAACAATTTAATTGGTGTAAAAATGGCAGCATAGTAAACACACATGCTGTTCCAGCTTAACATCAGGTTACTAACATATATCACTAAAATATATAATCACTAGAGAAGAAGTAAAAACAAAATAAAATGAACCAACAATACCAGTGAATATTTCACTGTTAATTGTCAATAAAGAAATCGATACATTGATGTAGAATATTAATACAATACTGAATATTGAAATAAAGCAATATATTGTTTTACGATATATTGCAATATTTCAATGTATCGATAATTATATACCCCCACACACAATTTGTGTTTCGTTAATTGCTACAGTAAGAACCTAACACTGGCTCCTTGAGTTTCCCTGGACTTTGTTTACTCGTCTCATCCTTTTCCTTCACCAAGTGCTGCGGCATTAGCTACTGTTCTACTTCAATTTGGCCTCTTCAGTTGAGCACGTGCGCTCTCTTCCATCAGTGTGTCTAATGTACTGCAGCGTCTCTTTCAGGGATAAGTTAATGATTGATGCACTTCCAAAAGAGGAGATAAGAACTGGAAACCACAACCGCCCCGTTTGGATGCAGTTCCTGGAGTGGTATGAGCGCTGACTTTCTAAAACGCAGAGGGGAACATCTGGTATTCTGCAGCAGAACCTCACCCTCCGATCTGTTTGCATTCAAATGATATCACCACAAGGGCAAGTGCCTAATCTGAGGAAAAGACACACTTCAAATTAGAGCAGGTCCGAGTGACAGCAGCGGTCAGAGCTTCACCGCCCCACAGATAGACCTGCAGATGCAGGCGTGACTCAAGGACATGATTAGCCTCAGTGTAAATGCATGGCCTGTAAGGCAGGCTGCTGCCAGCAGGGCAGCTCTTGTGTTTTACTGATAGGAAACACTGAGGAGAAAGTATGATGTCATTCATTACCGCCTCTCCTCTGCTACACGCTGCAGGTACTTGGATGTGACCCACAGGACAGAAATGGAGCCTTTATGTGCAAGAGGAGAACAGTTCACTTATTGATTTTTAAAATGCCACAAATGCAGACAAGATAGCAGCAGAGGCCCGTATTAAAGTCTTATCCACCGTGCTTCAGCCGGCCCCTTATCCTCCAGTGTAGGTTTTTATGATTTATTAAAAGGCGATGGGTACCGTGAACAGGTTTTGTGGTGAACTTTTCCTGACACTGCACTGCTGTAGATGAGGCGGCAGATGTAGCATCTTATTCCCTCCTAAAACACAAAGTCTTTCTCTCTCATTCAGGGAATCGGTCAGCTCAACTTCAACTGCAAAGACATGCAGAAATAAACGATCTTAAAGGAAGGTTAGGCCATACATGACCACGGCTGTTTGTCATAGTTGAGCACGCAGTTCAGACTGAATATGAGGCAACTGTAACGGCTGACGACACTCAGCTAATCTGATAATAATAATAATAATAATAATAATGAAAAATCAATTTGAGGTATTTTGTTTACCTGTCTGTTTATATAAATTTTAATATTATTTACATTTTATTCTATATTAATTTTGCAGTAAATCCCGATGTTGCACTGAACTTGTAATATTATTTTGAGCAGAGGGGCGAAAACAATAGATTAAAAATCTGCACCGTAGATTAGCATCGCAACACCAGACTGAATAAAAATATAAGTTATGATCACTGACACGACAACAGGGTAAATGTTACCAAGTCTGTTCAGTACAAAGTGATGTCATTGGTTTGAGGAGGTTCAGGTCAGGTGAATAAATGAATGTCATCTGTGAACATCTTTACACAAAGACTGCATGAAGATCAACCAGTCAACGGAAAATCCTACAGTAAAAATGAGTTCTACTCTGGACCGACACACACGAAGCTTCGCGGTCACTTACCGACTCGTGGTCCGACAGGTCAGCCAGCACAAAGCAGCGGTACTGCTGTTGACCAATGAGTGCTTTGTTGTAGAATCCGTTGTACTTCCTCTCATCGCCCAGAATGAAGATGTCAGGCACCGTGTCCAGCTTGGCAGCGATGTACGGCTGTGGCAGGTCCTGGCTCCGTCTCCTCCTCCTGTGCTGACCGTTCCCAGCGCCGGCCTCCAGGAGCTGCCACAGAGCAGACGTAAAGGGAAAATGTTGGCCCTGACATCGTGAATTAGCCTAACAGAGGACAGTAACACATTCTGACTGCATTAAACTGATCGCTGTAGACAAACACTGAAAAGATGGAGCCGAGGTTTGGCACCATCGGTACTGTGTGGAACCACAGGCAGAACTGAATCAGATTTGAAGTGGCTGTGTTGAAAATTCTGTTTAAAAATAATGTGATTCAGCTTCTGCAGCTGAGTCTGGAGAGGGGCCGGGGTGGGTGGGTGGGTGGTTGTGGGGGAGCATTACCACCAGTAGAACCAGCACATCAAGTAAGTAATGGTTTCCAAAATCACTACTTCATTCTCTACTCCCTACTCCCTCTACAGGTAATTTTATATATTGCACCACATAGTGGACCATAGTGGTTAAATGAAAAACGCTCTCAGACACGACTTTGGTCTGCAGTTGATAACGTCATTACTGTTGCAAAATTAAAACAGACGGACACAAGCTGTTCCTCTTTCTGACATGTCATCACGCCTGCAATGCATGATGGGATACATTGCTCGGGGAGTGTATATGGGATGTACTGTATATTAGATTTCGTGGTGTATTGAGATTACATTAAATGACCTTTACGTCACTACAAAAGTGATTCCAAAAACTAGTTAAAAACGACTTCTACTTCTGTAACCAGACCAGATCACCTTCTAACTTTTATCACAAACTAATACGAATATTAAAATCTCTACCGTCTATCCACACACACAGACACCCACACACACACACACAGGGGCAGCGTGTGTCTGAGGGACCAAACAGCCGTCTTGTATCTGTCAGCGTTCCCATCACTACAATGATGAAGTGGCAGAACAATAAAACGCGGCTGAAGCGTCTCACTCTCAGTGTCCTTGTTTATTCAACTCACAGCCGACGTTTACGGTGATAAAGGCCCTTCAACGACAACCCTGTAAAGAAGTGATGGAAGGAGAATTCCCATCATCCTCCTACCCCGAGTTAGATGCTGCAAGCTGCACAGCAAATCAAGGCTGAAGGAACAAATTATAACTGGGAACTGCAAATGGAATACATGTAAAAACGACAAGCGGTAAACACGGCAAACACATTTACGCTATCAAAAATTCATGGACTAATATTTACACAAGTAGATGCGGGGATTTCATTTGGAGGACGTCATCGACGGCAAACTAATTTAGAAGACTGTTGTCGCAGACAATATGACATAATCACTGGCTGATTGTGCAGTACTTAAAGGGTATTACACACTCTAAATAGAAACTTTAATTTATGTACTCAACATGTGGAGGAACAGTTGGCTGCTAATGCTCAGAGCCACCAGCTCAACCGTTTGGCAAGTGTTAGCTCTGGTGCAGAGTCAGTTTCTGCATAAGTTTCTCTGAATGTTTTCTCTGAATTTTTTCCCAGAATTATCTACAACAGTCCTGGTACACACAGCAGAGCTAATGTAAGCTACAACAGTCCTAGTACAAAAAACACAGCTAACAGTCCTGGTACAAACACCAGAAGATGCTGAAGTGGTTATAGTACCTGTTTGCAGGTGTCAGGAGGTTCATGATGGATGTTTTTCATGGAGAAACAGTGACTACATTAGTACTTGACTGGTCCGATCATTAAAATGCAGTTTAAAGTGCAGTTTTTGTATGTTAGACATTAACTCCAAGGTAATGGGAGAAGCAACATATTCCAGCAATCTTCAAAAGCAGTAAAAGTCTGGAACAGGGTTAGGGATTAAAGAGACGTCACATGTAAAAAAACTTGTTTAAGCAGTAATATTCGATTTGGCAGCAGCAGGTACTGTAGCTGCTGGAGCATGTCCAAAGTAAATTGTATTACATCTACATTACACGGTGCAGGGAGACTTTTACTCTGCTTTACAAACAAGGCTGCACAAGTCAGTAAATCAGCAGCACATTATTTATCCAGCTGAAGCTTTCAACACGCAGCCGTTTGTGCTGAAACAGAAGAGTGTGTTGAGCTGAAGGGCTTCATCTGATCCACTCCTCTTCACTATCTCACTCCACTCTGTCAGCCTACAGTCAGTTTAAACAAAGGGCGCAGGAACTGACATGAAACCAGATCATGCTGTGGTGTGAACAGCCAAACAAAGGCGAACAAATGGAACCGTGTTCTTCTCTTATCTGTGTCACGAGCGATTGGGGATCATGTGAGGACAGAAGATTTATTTCTTCTAACAGGGGATTTTTTTTTTGGTTCATTTCCAGGGCAGTTTCATCAGAAGTTGGAAAATAGAACCGGTGACTCATGGTTCAAATGTTCAAATGAATTATGGTCATTTGATGACCCCTGGTATACCAGTGGAATCTAAAGGGGTATGACTGATAAAAGGTAAGCATTTGAGGTCTTAGAAAAATGAAGACTGAAATTGAAAAGTCTTCATTCTTTTCCACAGATGAGGGTTAAAGGACAAACGTAAAATAGTTTATTTTCTAATGCTTTGTAGGAAAGTGTTACTGTAGTATATCTGGTAAAGTATTACTACTCCCAACAGTACCTCATATTAATATATAACTTAGGAATTTAATGGAAAACTCCATCCATCCATCCATCCATCCATCCATCATCAATCCAAATTTTCATTTATCCACCAGTTTCATCCGTCGGAGGTGTTCTCCATCACAGGGACATTCAAAGAAAATCAATTTCCATTAAATTAAACAATAAATCAATAATTAATTGAACCTAATTTGTTGAGACTGCCGTAGGTCGGTCCATATAAACCATCAAGTCGACCTTCACTCACCTCCTCTATGTCCATGTCTTCTGGCGTCTCCCATTTGTTTTGGGCAGCTGAGACGACAGGGACCACCACGATGTAGTACCACCTGCATCAAACGCAGGAAGACAAAAGAAAACACAGGTGAGTGACGGAGGCTGCGATTGGACGCCACCTGCTGCAGCACAGCTTTGATTCAATCTGTTCTATCCCTGAAAAGAAAAAAAAAAAAAACCAAACCCATTGTTTATTCCACTCACATTAATTGACAGTGGTTTTAGTAAACAGCCGGCCATTAAAGGTTATTCACTCCTGAAAATGTCAATAGGCAGCGGGGAAGTGCGGCTGCTCCGAGCGGCCAGACTGAATTACTTTGGTTTTTTTTTTCTTCCTCTCTGCCACCAGCCTCACTTCTCTTATTACAGCCGCTCACTTCTGGGTGATTTCTTTTAGAGAAACAAACACTTGAAACACAATTAAGCTGCGGTAATTCGCCGAGCCTGTCTTCTTGACAGAGCTAGGTAATAATACGGGTAAAAATAAAAAGCTTCTCCTGAAGAGCTGCCTCTGCTTTGGGATGCTCCTGGCTGATTAGTCCTGGTTTTAAACGTCTTTCCTCTAATAAATTGCTTTCTGGTATCAGGAGGGCGGCAGCAGACGACCGTTTATAAAATGGCTGCCGTACAGTCGCGGCTGTAATCACGGAG